CTGTATTCTTGGTGCTTGGAGGGGGGGGGGGGAGCAGTGGGAGGGCTTCTGTTGTCCTGGCCCCACTGCTGGACCTCCTGATGGCACCTGGTATTTCTGGCCACTGTGTGACACAGAGTGTTGGACTGGGTGGGACACTGGCCTGATCCAACATTGGCTTCTCTTATGTTCTTATGGATAATCATGTGGAGTAGAGAACCATCAGTGGCTATTAGCCACAAGGTATAGATAGGAACTATCTGGGGCAAGTGATGCTCTGTATTCTTGGTGCTTTTGGGGGTGGGGGAACAGTGGGAGGGCTTCTGTTGTCCTGGCCCCACTGCTGGAGCTCCTGATGGCACCTGGTATTTTTGGCCACTGTGTGATACAGAGTGTTGGACTGGATGGGCCATTGGCCTGATCCAACACCAGCTTCTCTTATGTTCTTATTCATAAACATATGGAGCAGAGGTCCATCAGTGGCTATCAGCCACAAGGTATAGATAGAACATTTTGTCTGGGGCAGTGATGCTCTGTATCCCTGGTGCTTGGGGGGCAGCAGTGGGAGGGCTTCTGGAGTTCTGGCCCTACTAGTGGACCTCCTGATGGCACTTGGGTTTTGGCCACTGTATGACACAGAGTGTTGGACTGGGTAGGCCAATGGCCTGATCCAACACTACTTCTCTTATGTTCTTATGTTCTCTTAGCCACAAAGTATAGATGGAATACTATGTCTGGGGCAGTGATGTTCTATACTCTTGGTGCTTGGGGGGCCACAGTGGCAGGGCTTCTGGAGTTCTAGCCCGACTGGTGGACCTCCTTATGGCACCAGGGTTTTGGCCACTGTGTGACACAGAGTGTTGGACTGGGTAGGCCATTGGCCTGATCCAACATGGCTTCTCTTATGTTCTTGTCTTTACACCAACACACCCGAGCCTGGCTGTTATCTTCCCTCTAGACACATTTGCCACAGAGGTAAGGTTGTGAACGACCTGGAGAGAGAGAGAAGTCCTGCCCCTTTAATAGAGGCTTAATAGGATGTTGTTTACCAGGGCCTGTAGTTTACTTCCATTATAAAAAGTGTTACCTGTTCATTTCCGCATTTGAAGTCTCTGGGAATTGACACATGACACATTGACACATGAAGCTGGCAACCATGGCACACTTTTCTTCGGCATTGGTTGTGCACAAAATGTGATTTATTTATTTTTACTGGTTGATTTGAGTATATCCCGGGTAGTTTATGATGGGTTAGGCTAACAGCACGGAATAACTTCTCAGTATCCCAGAGATCAGTTCCCCTGGAGAAAATGGCTGCTTTCGAGGGGAGACTCTTTGGCATTATAACCCGCTGAGCCCCCCCCCTTCCCAAACCCCGACTTCCTCAGGCTTCACCCCCCAAATCTTGAGGAATTCCCCGACCCATAGTTGGCAACCCGACTCTCTCATATGCAAACTGTCACACAGAGAGATGATTAAATATGGATCAGCCGAGAGGAGGTTTCTAATCCTGGCTGTATCGAGTTGATGTGCTCTCTGTAACAGGAGCCCGAGGGGATTTGAAGGGAACAGAACCTGTTGCAGGACGTGTGGACAGTTAGGGATGCTGGGCCTTGGAGCATGACCCGGAGTTTCAGGGCTTCAGAGCCGGAGGTCAGGAAATTCCTGGAGATTTGGGCGTGGCGCCTGGGGAGGTCAGGGACCTCAGTAGGGGTACAACACCACAGAGTCCACCTTCCAAAGCATCCATTTCCCCCAGGAGAACTGATCTCTGTTTAGGGTTGCCATGTCTGGGGTGGAAAAGACCTGGAGACTTTGGGGGGTGGATCCAGGAGAGGGCGGGGTTTAGGGAGGGGAGGGGCCTCAACATGTCACAATGCCGCAGAGCCCGCCCTTCAAAGCAGCCATTTTCTCCAGGGGAGCTGATCTCAGTCAGCTGGAGATGAGCTGTAAAAGCTGGAGATCTCCAGGCCCCACCTGGAGGCCGGCGACCCTACCTCTATTGCCTA